TTCTGCTCTAATCTTTATTATTTCCATCCTTCTGTTAACTTTGAGCTTAGATTGTTCTTCCTATTCCATTTCCTTCAGGTATAAAGTTAAGTTGTTTATTTGAGATCTTTCTTTTCTCTTAACATAGGCATTTATCACTGTAAATTTGCCTCTTACAACTGCTTTTGCTACATCCCGTAAGTTTTCATATGTTGTGTTACCATTTTTGTTTGTCCCGTATTTCATATATTGTGTTTCCACTTTTGTTTGTCTAAATACTTTCTGATTTCTCTTTTGCCTTCTTCTTTAATCCATTGCTTGTTCAAGAGTATGTTGTTTAATTTCCACTTATTTGTGAATTTTTCCATTTTCCCCATTATTGATTTCCAGTTTCATACCATTGTAGTTGGAAAAGATTCTTGATAAGATCTCAATCTTCTTAAATTTATTAAGGCTTGTTTTGTGGCCCAACATGTGCTCTATCAAGAAGTATGTTCAGGTGTGCTTGAGAAGAATGTGTATCTTGCTACTTTTGGGTGGATGTTTATGTATATGTCTGTTAGGTGCATTTGGTCTATGGTGTTACTTAGGTCTGCTGTTTCCTTATTTTCTATCTTGTTGATCTATCCAATATTGAAAGTGGGATGTTGAAGCCCACTACTTTTATTATGTTGTCTATTTTTTCCTTCAGTTCTGTTAATATTTGTGTTAAATATTTAGGTGTTCCAATATTGGGTGCAAAAATATTTACAATTGTTATATCCTCTTGATGAACTGACCTCTTTATCATAATATAGTGATCTTCTTTGTTCTTTATGACTAATTTTCATTGAAAATATAATATATCTCATATAAATATAGCCTCTCTCCTGCTCTCTTTTAGTTACCATTTGTATGGAATATCTTTTTCCATCCTTTCACTTTCAGCTCATGTGTGTCTTTAAAGCTAAAGTGAGCATCTTGGAGAGCATACCATTGAATCTATTTTTTTAATCCATTTAGCCACTCTTTGTCTTTTCATTAGAGAATTTAGTCCACTTACATTTAAAGTAATTATTAATAGGTAAGGACTTACTGTCCTTTTTGTTATTGTTGTCCCTCTAATTTCACATGACCTTTCTTCATGTGCTATGGTTCTTCTATATGATCAAGTTTGCTGTTGAAGCTCTCTGTTGAAATTGTTTAGTTCTGTCAGTTTATTCTTCAGCTCCAGGATTTCTGTCTGGCTCTTTTTTATGGTTTTTATTTCTTTATTCAAACTTCTCATTTGTTCTTACATTGTTTCTCTGATTTTGTTATATTGTCTATCTGTGTTCTTTTGCATCTCACTGAGTTTCTTTAAGATAAATATTTTGAATTCTTTGTCAAATTGTAGATCTCCATTTCTTTGGGGTTGGTTACTGGAGCTTTATTAGTGCCCCTTTTTTGATGTTATATTTGCCTCATTCTTTGTGATCCATGTACCCTTGCATTTGTGTCTATGCATCTGAAGATACAAACACTTTTTCTAGTCTTTACAGCCTAATTTCAGTAGGAAAAGTCATCCTTCTCCTGTCTTTTTCCTGAGCCAATGGGATTACCTCTTCCAAAATTGAAGTCATTCTGGGTTGAAGCCAGTTTTTAAGCTGCTGCTTGGTCTGTAGTGAGGTCCATGGTTGGTGGGCTTGTTACCAGGGGCTGAGGTGTGCAAGGATCTGGTTGGTTCCTGGGTGGATGGGACTACCTCCAGGACCTTGTTCAATAGAATAGTACCTGGACAAGTGTCCCCTTCAAGGTCCACAGTTGGGTCCTTAGTCAACAAGCCTGTTATCGTGTGTGCAATATTACCTCCCACCAGGTCCTTGAGACGGCTCATGTGTGGTCACTGGATGGGTTCCTGGGTGGACAGGACTGGCGCTGGATTGTGGCTGAGAGGATGTATGCAAGGGATGTCTTAGTTGGCTATCTTTCTGATATCACTACTGTGTTTCCTTTTTTGTGGGACATCATAGTCAGAATCTCTTGAAAGTTATAGAAAGAGTAAATCAATGACTGTATTTGAATTTATGAAAATTATTACAAAGGGCATACACACTGGCTATTTTCCATCTCTGCAGTGAACAGAATTATAGTTGAGGACTTAAATTACAGAAATTAAAATTTAGAGAATAAACTTCAGAAGAAGAAATACATTCTTATACTATCCTGTTATGACTACTTTTAAGATGTGTATAAACTCAAGTTGAATTTAAAAGATCACATACCTATGCTTTAAAAATCTTAGCATAATTTTTTTTCTATGGTTATAAAAATGTCAATTTTTCAAAGTTTCTCCAGTCACATGAAGCTCTTACACATTATGATTAGCCATTATATGTTCTTATGTATAAAAATCAATCTAAGAGATACTACCCAAGATTAATATTCAGCTGGTAATTGGGAAGAAGGAATAAACCTTAGACTCCATATGATTTTAAGACATAAAACATTGCTGAATTTAGCATGGTATCTGGCGCACTGTTTTCAGTCTGATAACTTTCAAATGAGGAATTTGCTTCTGGTGGTAAATAAATGCCTAGCCCATCAGTGTACCTGGGGAAAGAGAGGAATTAGATTTCTATCATTCAAATGTCCCATTGATTTGAGGCTGTGCTGCAGATGCTCACAAGGGCCTTTTTAGCTACATTTACTACCAGAGTAATCTACATCTGAGCAACTCCTTCTTATCTAGGAGATATTAGCTTAAATGCTGTAAATTTGTCTAGATGCCATAAAGAAATGGAAAACTAACTGAGGCCATAACACCAATTCCTGAGGCTAATGTAAACCTAATATGGCTGTTGTATGTATTAGTCTAGGCAAAAATATATCCCCTTGTTGATGAAAGTGTTGGTTTTCAGCTATTTTATTTTGAGTACTTGCCATGTAAGTATCAGGATCATTTATCATTGAGCTAAGGCTGCAGTGTTTAGGTTTTGTGGTGCCCTGGCCAATTACCTAGCAGCTGACTGCAGTTCTTTTAATGCTTTGAGACCTCTGGATGCCTGTATCCCATCCTAGAGCAGATTTTACTCAAAGTGTGGTCCCTGGATCAGTAGCAGCATCACCTGAGAGCTTACTATAAATGAAAATTCTCAGGACCTATTCTAGACCTACTGAATGAAAAAATGTGGAGGTGGGCCCCAGCAGTCTTTATTTTAGGAAGCCCTCCAAGTTGTTGTCATACGTGCTCAAGTATGAAAAACATTTTTTCCAGAGTTTACAAGGACTCTAAAGTGTTCCTTGTGTCACAGACATTTTAATTAAATATTAACTGGTATTACATAATAGCTTAATATGTGCCTCTTTCTATGATTTGTTATTCAACCAAAGTGTTCGCATCAATGAAATGGTACCACTATAAACTGCTGATATATATACATAGACATGTTACAGCAAATACAACTAATATTTTTGCTGATAATTGAATTTTATTTATAATATATACAACTGTATCTTGGTTGAAGAATAAAGAACATACCAAGTACCAAAATATGATATATTTGAGATGATTACTATTTTCTAAACCTTTTTTCTTTACCTGAAAGCTGCTTTTTTGAAAAATAAAATCTTCCATAGCTTAAAGTTTTCTTCCAGGGATCCCCTAATAGAGTTGTTAGTTTCTTATACACCTGTGTTAGTTTTGGATGCAGTAAACCCTTAGTTCTGAGTTTTCCCTAACAAGTTATAATCATAGAATGACTTCTAGATGACTCAGGATTGTCAGACTACTAAAATGAACACACACACATGGATCTCCAACACTGAGCTTCAGAATTCCTGAAGTCAAAAGCAGTGTCCCAAAGCCACCCAGAACAGCAGTCCTTCTATCTATGACAACCCAGAGGTTTTGAATTTTCTATGCCAAATACAAAATTCATTTTGTTCTAAAATTTAGGGGTGACTCAATTCAATTATCATACACCAAAGTGGATCCTGACCAATGGAATCAAGAGACTGGGGAAGAAGACCGCTTTGATCTAATAATCAAGTTATACCCTGGCAATCATCAGGGAAGCACAAAAGAGAGCTAAGGATATTGATATTGGTAGACTCAGTGTATTGATAGTATTTAGAGTTCAGGTAAATTATGAATCCTGGTCCCACATCCTGAAAAAGAAAATTGGCAAATGAGAAACTGTCCAAAAGAGAAAAGACTTCTTCTCCTTAAAAACAACAAATGAGACATTTGGGATGTTTAAAAATTTATGATAAAGGTAATGCAGGATACTAGTCATCAAATATTTGAAGGGTTCTCATGTAAAAAGGGGGAAGACTAAGGAAAGAGACAGATTTTAGAAATAAATTTCATTCATTTATAATTTTTTATTTTTATGGTCAAACTGATTAACATGATGAAACATGATTTGGCAACATTTTATGTGTAAGATAAATGGAGATCAGCAAAACAATATGTTTTTCTGTAATAATTCAGTATAATATCTCACTCCCCACATCCAAGAACTGGTCCTGGTAAAAATTAATTATTTCAAGTTTGCTTTTATTTTCTCCCCACTAGAAAATCAACACAGTACACACAATCTAAAACTCATTCCTCTATAGTCAAGCCAAGTGCAGTTTTCTCTCTTTTTTTTCAACTAGGTAAAATGACCAAAGGCATGATTAGCTGACTGTATGATTATTTATAAGAGCATACTACCCAAATATTTGCTTTTAATAAACAGTCAAGATTTCATCACACATCTATATGGTCTGTGCATCGAAAATGTTAGAAGTTAACATTTCACTTCTCTTTTCATTGATTTTTCGCCTACTGTCTTCACAACAACAAAATAAAGATGTGACCCCTTACACCTCCAAATTAGTTACAGAACATTTGGATTAGTGAATTCTTATTGAAAACTAATGAAGGTTCTTTTTATTTTGGTCTCCCAGAAGTGAGACATTTGGAAATACTCATGAAAAGAGGTGAATGTTTTCATGCCCTATTGTTTTCTTTGTAGAGTAGTGAGTTCAACTTTACTCTGTAATGTTTTTGACAGACAATAAAGATTATGATGCATACTTATCATACACCAAAGTGGATCCTGACCAATGGAATCAAGAGACTGGGGAAGAAGAACGCTTTGCTCTTGAAATCCTACCTGATATGCTTGAAAAGCATTATGGATATAAGTTGTTTATACCAGATAGAGATTTAATCCCAACTGGAAGTAAGTCAATGTTTTCATTTGGGAGTGTGTATATTCTTTTGTCTGTGTATCATCATTTTTTTAGACCGATATTGGTAGACCGATATTGATTTTGGTTCTTTACTTCAAAAATTCTGTCAGTTTCTCAAGAAAAAGATATCATTATGCATTCAAATGAAATTAATGTTTGTTTGTTTTTTACCTCTGTGGAGTTCCTTTTATTATTCTATAAAGTATCTCTTTTTATGAGCCTTGACATTTAAAGAAACCAAATGAGCAATTTGTACCTAGGAAAATTATTTCTAACATTGAGAGAAGCAAAGCTCATACTCTATTCAAAGTGATCGTTGGCTATTCTCATCTTCTCAAGGTACTACACAACAAACAACAAGTCTTAGGTAATGTGTCAAAGAGAATGTACTGAGGCTTTCCAGACCAAATGTTCAATTCACTCATTCTGACATACCCTTTTCTCTTTTGTAGCATACATTGAAGATGTGGCAAGGTGCGTAGATCAAAGCAAGCGGCTGATTATTGTCATGACCCCAAATTATGTAGTCAGAAGAGGCTGGAGCATCTTTGAGCTGGAGACTAGACTTCGGAACATGCTTGTGACTGGAGAGATTAAAGTGATACTAATTGAATGCAGTGAACTACGAGGAATTATGAACTACCAGGAGGTGGAGGCCCTCAAGCATACCATCAAGCTCCTGACGGTTATCAAATGGCATGGGCCAAAATGCAACAAGTTGAACTCTAAGTTCTGGAAACGTTTACAATATGAAATGCCTTTTAAGAGGATAGAACCCATTACACATGAGCAGGCTTTAGATGTTAGTGAGCAGGGGCCTTTTGGGGAGCTGCAGACTGTCTCAGCCATTTCCATGGCCGCAGCCACCTCCACAGCTCTAGCCACTGCCCATCCAGATCTCCGTTCCACCTTTCACAACACGTACCATTCACAAATGCGTCAGAAACACTACTACCGAAGCTATGAGTACGACGTACCTCCCACTGGCACCCTGCCTCTTACCTCCATAGGAAATCAGCATACCTATTGTAACATCCCTATGACACTCATCAATGGGCAGCGGCCACAGACAAAATCAAGCAGGGAGCAGAATCCAGATGAAGCCCACACAAACAGTGCCATCCTGCCACTGCTGCCAAGAGAGACCAGTATATCCAGTGTGATTTGGTGACAGAAAAGCAAGGGACACCCAGTCCCTGGGAGCTTGAGTGGAGTCTGCAGTCCAGTGCCTGGAACTAAATCCTCGACTGCTGCTGTTAAAAACATGCATTACAATCTCTAGAACATGAGGAAAAACAGGGTCTTGTACATATGTTTTTTGCAATTTCTTTGTAGCATCAGTGTCTTCCTGTTTTACCATGTCTCTTACCATTACATTTTTTGACTTTGTTTTATATGTCATTGGAATTTGTAAATTTACATTTTTTTAAAGAAGAGACTTATATATAGATAGAAAACCCTTCTTTGCTTAATTAGTTTAGTTTTAGAATGGGTTTATTTCCTTTTCTTGATTTTGTTTTGCTTTTAACATTTCCTTGGGGTGCTTGGACAAATCAATCCGATGGGACAAGGAGCACCGGATCCTCTCTTGGGTTCTGCCTAGGATCAGCTGGTCCATGTGGGCCTTCAGAAAGCAGCGCAACTAATGCCAGCATTGCCATTTGGGAATCCAAACAAAAGATGAGAAGAACACTTGTTCGTAGGAGGGCCCCGCCCACCAGAGCACTGAATCTCTTCCTTGTCCCGCCTCATTCCCCACCTCTACCCTTCCAATGGCGGCATGATGTGTGAACTCTGAGGAGGGGTGGGGGTGGGTTTAACTGTCTTAACATTTAATTCACTGCTCGTCAGAATACACTCCAGACCCAAAAGTGTGCTAGTCACTTGACGGTGACCACTACAGAGTGCTAAGAAGAGAAGATCAAGGGCATGAAAATGGGGGAGAGAGTGTTGTTTCCGTTTTTTAAATGAGTTGATGTACCCTTATATAAATATATATATATATATATATAAACACAACAAAACAAAAGAAACAAAAAAAAACAAAACAAAACAAAAAAACACACAAAAAAACAAAAACAAAAAAATCAAGCCCTATATTTGATCACTTCCTGGAAAGGCATGAATGTGTTTGTGGCTGTTTTTGTTTGATATTCTACTTCCTCTTTTCCCTCTATAATTTTTTCTGCAAATGAGATTATGTGCAAATGCCAGGCAAGTTAGCAAGTTAACTCAAAAGGGTGAATCAACACAAGTCAAAATGAAATTTACATTGAAGGCTTCCAAACCAAAGGGAAGGACAGGATGTGTCATCAAATGTGTTTTGTCACCTTGTATTATACAAAGTGTGTTATTTTCTATTTCTAAAGAGTCAGAACAAATCTGTGAAACTTATTATGGGGTCCCCTTGTATTTAAATGTTAATTCACTGTATTTAATTTTCAATGCTGCATTCAGAATTAAGTGTTTGGTTTCAGTTTGTGAACATAAGCAACACTTACTAATAATCAAAGTGTTTATATAAGAACCCAGGAGGTCAAACATACGAATACCAACAGAAATCAGTATTTTCAAAATATACATTATTTACATGAGATAGTTTTTAAATTAGATGAGAAAGTGTTTAATATAATTTTACTGTATAAAAAATTAGTTTTATTTTAACTGTATAATTCTATCTTTCAGAAAGCTGACGCTCCCAGGAAATTCATCCCTTACCATGTAGCTTTGTGTTTGAAGTCGATGACATAAGCAGCTAATACATATTCATATTGAAGATGATGCAAAATCAATAATCATAAAGGAACTTACAGAGGGCAGAATTGTTAAAGGGAAATATTACCTAAGTAGCTTTTAGTTTTAAAAAATCCAATGTGATGAAAACACTGGTAATAGAACTTACACATTACTTTAGTGTTTCACTGTAGGAGCTTCCATTCCAGTCACCGTCTGTGAGCTTGTGTAGTGACTTTTGTATGTTTGGTTTATTTCTACCACTATGTAATGAGAAAATAATTATACAGTTTTTGTCACAGTACTACGGTGTGAGTTGGCCACAAAAAAAGGTGTAAACTTCAGAAGAGTTCATTGGGGAGGTAAGATTGAATTGCATATGTATGAGAGATGAGTATAAGAATTCTGTGACAATGCAGAGGTCTCAGTATTTGTGTGACAAAGTGAAGGAACCTCAGGATGTGCATTGATTTTTATTTGCTGGAAAAATATGTCCATTTCCCTGACAACTCACCTGGGTCCTCCTCTACAATCTGTTCCTTATTCCCTTGCTCCCTTTGGATCCATGTCATATTTTCTCAAACCAGAACTGAAGCTGCAAGGACACATAAACCTTAAGGTCAGCTTTGTACATTGGGTTATTTTCAGAATCCAAGAAGGCCATTGTTTACTGTGTATTATGGACACCTGTCAGGGACTGGTGGCAGTGAACCCCATTGGACTGGATTCCAGACTCCCCCAGTGCTCAGAAAACTGTAAACATGGCAATGGCCTGGTTTGTTTCTTTGTTTTTTAATTTTCTTAAGTGCACGATGGAAGTGTGGAATAAATGTAGAGGAAGTAATCAGACCACAGTCATATTTTAGGCATTCATAGGTGTTAATTTAGCTGCATTGGGAGTACATTTTTTGTTCTATTTTTAGTGTAGATTTAAGCACTTTGAATAGCATGATTCAGGGATGGATGGGTAATATTTGATATTCTCACAACTTAAGAAACGTTTTTTTTTTCTTCTAATGCTTTGTCATATTTTTTAAAAAATAAAGTAATGGAGAAGAAGCTATCTGTGGCTTTAGAAACATTCCTCCCAAGTATTCCCCTATCAGTTCCTTGTGAGAACAAATGAAGGAGGCTGTCATGTGTTCACGTGCTCTATGTTTAACAAAAGTTACATTAGAACTCACAATAAAAGAAAAAAATGTATTTTCCCTAGTGCTTAGATTTCATCCTTCTCTTTTTTTTTTTTTTTTTTTTTTTTTNTTTTGGTGCGGGCCGTGGGGGATAAGAATATATTCTAGTTGTAAAAACACAGTTGAAAGTATGACTATGTTAGCCAAGCTGAGAGAGAGAATGGGCTTCTGGACTTGGACACGTTTTTCCTGTCTTTCATCAGTTGCTGCTCAGGCTCCGAATGACATGTTATGGATTCAAAATCCATCTGGTTCTGTCATATAACCTTTACTTACTGCCTACGAGCGTCTTACCTTTTATATGGTGCTCAAATCTTTGATTATTTAATTTGTAATCCATTCCTTAGGTGTCCTATACGCAGAGAAGAAATTTGTGTCTCATACATCCAGCTGATTTAAGTTTAGATCAAATCTGTGACATAAATCTAAGTCATAGTGAGTTGAGACCAAAACCTACTATATTTCTGTAGTCAAACTCCTGATTTTTCAAGCATTTTGTGTTTATTACCTTCTTCATAATACATATATTAAAACACTATTGACTTAATCTTAAATATCTAGATATACTGGTTTCTTCCTTATTTCATTATTATTTAGCATTTTATAACAAGATCAAATATTAACTGAGAGCCAAAATCCCTAAGTTCCAAGTAAGTTTTGTTTATCCTAGAAAAGTCATTAACTTTGACAGATATGATTTATGTAAATTAAGATCACCATTGCTAGGAAAATATTAATTCATACATTTGTCAATTATTTTCTGATTCTGGAATGATAACCTAGTTTCCCTTTTTCTAAGAAGTATTTTTTATATTGTGCTTAATTTTTTTTTTCAAATTTAAGTTTGTGTCCTTAGTCCTAGGAGAAAGCTTAATGAAGTTCCGAGGAGACCATCAGTATTGTACAAGTGAAATGACTGAATGGAACTAAGAGAACATACAGACGTGGAAGAGGAAAAGCCCTGACTGCCTCTGATCTGAACTTGCTTGGTCGTTATTTTCCATTATTGTCATAGTTGATTAAGAGAGGTGAAATATTATTATAAGGGTTGGAAATCCCACCTACAGATACATATTCCCTATCACTGAAGAATCTTTTAAAACAGTAGATAAAGTTGTTACAAAGAGGTGATGATGGAACTGAGTTCCCTAAAAAACACTTGTCAGTGGAGGCAGAGCTATTCTTTGCCTAGTTGTAACCCATTCCCACTTCATTCTCCTGAGCAAAGGAAGTAACCAGCAGTCAAATTGTGATTATTCTTAATAACAGAGCTTTAACTTGGGTTTAAGGACACCCTGAGTCTATAAAAGGGATTAAAGTAAATAATGAAGCTCTTGAAATCCCAGACATAACTGTGATTATGTACAGAACTGTTGTTTACTTGAATGTGAGTGTCAAAGATATCTGTCACCTAAAAAGCTATTGATGTTTTGACCTAGAGCAAAAGTTCAGAAACTGACATTCAGATAAACCAGCTATCTTACAGGCACTGTTAGACCTGCTGGTCGTTACCTTCACTCATGAAAATGCATAGGATGGTTATCATTGTTTTGACCTACAGAGGCAAGTCCTTTTCCAACATGACCCAGTTTTGTGGGAGACTTGGTTCATGGTGAGGAAACTGCTTGTATGATGACAAGTAATTCATGCCAAGATACATGAGAATTGATTACTATTACTATGATAGTTTACTCATTTACTCAAAAGATAGCTTGTATGGAAACATGAAATCATATAATTTGGCATGATGCCTTATTTCATTTAACTTCTTCATGATTTGCATTTAATCATGTTTCCTACAACAAAACTAGGAATTAATTTACTACAGAAGAAACAACCAGCTGACATGTTTTTCCAAAGGGACCCAGTTTTCTTAGACCAAGATTTAGAATTGGTTGATTTTCAACAATTGTGCTTTTGCCAGCTGCAGGAATTATTATCTGACTTTGCGGCAATATGATGAATTTTGAGAATAAACTGAAGTGAGGTGGTGTGTATTTAAAGTTTTATTTTTTGCTCATGACTGGCAGCAAGGTGAAAGTTTGTGCTCTGTTACAAATTAAGATACTGTCACAAGGAGTTGTGAGGCCTAAATTTGAGAAAAGAAATGGATGATGGTGATGAATTAATCCTAATCCTAATCTTATGTGTGCTTTCATCATCATACTTCAGATACATGCATAGAAAATGTCCAGACTAAAAGAAGGAACTCAGCTCTAATTTTCCATCAAGTTCCATTTCTTCCTTCCAGGCTCACAATACAAAACATCTCTCCATTTTCCAAACACATAGATATATGACAAGAAAAATTTCCTTCTGTCCTTTAGTAAATGTTCCTCTGAAAAGTCTCTGAATCCACTGACAAACTCATGTTTCAGAATTGTTCATTAAAGTAAGCAAAGTAAGGCACTTTCTTGTTTTTCTACCATTCCTTACCTTCACTGATGTGAAAAGTATTCTCTTTCTAACAAAGGCAGTCGCTCTAAATCATTACACTGTATTCCCTCCACTACTAAGTGAATAGAAACTGAACAACTGCACATGAACTTGAGGCTATTCCATGTAATATTGTTGTTGTGTAAATTGCAATGTTCATAGTCCAGAAAAAGTTTCAAAGGGCATGCTGGTCATAAAAAAAATATTTAGTGTAAAATGACATGTTACATAGTACATGAACATGTGGCAAGGTAATTTGGATCTATCAACTAGTAAATGAGAGACTAAATTTGGGGAGATCAGATGTGAGTGTTTTAGGTTAATTCTCAACTGGGATGAAGACATCTTTATGTTAGGAAACATGGACAGTTGTCCATATTCCTTGCAGCATATGCTCCTGGTAACTAGAATCCTTAGTGTGTTCTTTCCACCAAAGTAGTGGAGATAATGTTCATATAATCTGCTAATGAACTGTAAAAACTTTTACATTTTCAGAGTTTGAGGGAACCCAAATAGGAAAGTGGAGTTAGTCACTTTCCTCTGCTGGCGTTCATGTCAAATTTTAAACTCAGACACTCTCAGATATGTTCAACAGTCAGTAAAAAGTGCATTTAGATAGTGTTTCCCTTTAGTTTTGCCTACCCTCTTTGGTTTTGTACAATCTAGAATGTATGTAACTCATGCGTAGGTGACGGAGACGCACCTTTTTTCTTAGAATACTTACAATTATATATTTGGTTTTGCTTTGACTAGCAATAGGAAAATAGATGCATACAACTGTAAAAATGAGAAATTTTAAACTTGAATTATAATTTGTGTTTTATAGTCGTTTCATAAGTCTGTTGCTCTCTATGAGTATGCTCTCTATATATCCTGTAAAAATAAATTTATATGTTACATAGAAATTCAAGAAATTAAATTATTTATTAAGCTACAAATGTTTCTTCTGGTTTCTACCTGATCATAGATGAAAATAAATTAAATAATGTGTTGTTGGAACATATGTAAGTACCTTCGTTAATTTGATACCCCTTATATTTTTCTTTCCCTCTCTGTTTACGTCTGTAATCTTATAGTGCTTAGACTTAATTCCTATTATTATTGTGAAGAAAGGGACTTAAGAAATTGCCAATTGGCTGAACAAAAAGGAAAACCTTGTTGAAAAATCAAGTCCCATTTACAATCCCTAGTTTTTTCCTCATGACTGGATTGTGGAGAGGTTTGAGTCCCAGATTCGATCACTTACAAGTCATTAACATGTTGATGATCTTTTCAAGGTTAAATTCTGCATTTTTTCCTTTATCTGTTTCATAAAATTCTTTGAGAAACAGTAATGAAAGGAATGATAACGTGTGCGTCCTCTTTGTTGTTTCTTTTCCTTTCTTCTTGCTCCCCAGGTGTTTTACTCCTTTCTTTTCAAGGTACTACTTGCATAATGCCCTTAAAATAAAGTCCCCTCAGGTAATATTTTAAAGTGACCAAGATCTTTAGTCATTTTATTTTTCTACTCTGTTTGCACCTACCTGTAGTGCACAGTTATCCGTAAAGGGAAATGTTTTTGGCCTTACTTTTCATTTTATGTTTAAGATAATAAACATGATTTATTTATTTGAGGGTAGGGGGTTTGTGGTAAATCTCTCCGTCACAAGCATGACAAGTGAACAACCATAAACCTCTTAGAATGAATGGGCTGTAGAGGCAGAATTCGTATCTTAAGGACAGCCTTTTAATGAGCACTTATCAAAGATGAAGGAAAGATAAATCATTATGCAAATGGAGGTCATATTTTTTAAAAACCGTGTTAGGTTATTTTGGGTTGGATTTCAAGGTAATTAATGTACTTTAAATTTCATGTGGTCGTTTCTACCTCAGTAGGGTTTTTCAGTGTAAAAAAAATAACTTCTACTGCAAAAGTAAAAACGTTCCATGGATTATGACTCAGTGTATAATTTGCATATTGTATTTTAAACTGTGAAGTATAGGACCTGACCCATTATTAAAAAATCAGGTGAGATGAAAACTCTATAATTGAAGAATATTTGGGACTGTTCGCACACTTCACACACACATGAATTCTCAGGAACTTTCAATTATGCTCATATAAATGACTGATGCTCATGAAACATCTTATTTCTAGGAGATTCTTAATTGATAACAGATCTCCACTTACTAAAAAAAAAGAAACAGAATGAGGCAAATATTCAGAGAATTAAAATAGTGGTTACCTTACCCACTCACCTACTGCTGTGGGATATTTAGCATTTATAGATGACCTGTAAGAGTAATTCAAACAAATTCCCTGATGAAGCTTGCATTTTCAATCGATGTTTAATGCCTAGTGATATGAATCTGTATGTGGGAGGAGAGGGTGAAGTTCTGAAGGATATAGAGAATCTACATTTAACCAATAATTTAGACAATCTCTACGCAAATTGGGGATTTTTGTCCCAGTATTATGTCAATTGGTTTTAGATGGTACACAGAGGGAGGTATTTATTTGAATAATTATATATTTGATTTAAAATGTGTTAGCATTTTTTAAAAATTTAAGTAATGCATCAAACTTGACTTTACGGA